CTCGAGTAACGTGCGCTCGTGCCAGTGAGAGAATCGGCTAAATGACGCGCAAAGTACTTTGCTACTAAACTGAGAAACTAAATGCTAAAGAAAATAGCAAAGTTTGAGGGTAAAGACTGTACGCACAACTGAAAAGATGATTGGGTAGTACCTTAGGTGGCTTTTAACGAGGAATATTCAAGGGCGTAGCTCTAAATTAAAAGCGATGCAAAATACTTAGGTGGTATTAGGCTTTGTGCCGTTTAAATTCGCCACTTACCACGTAAACGAGGATTAAGGGAAGCGTTTATCTTCTCCGTAAGCCCTGCCAGCCACGATAAATATCCTATTTTAAAATCTTGCGATCTCCTGTTAAGAAATCCAATGTCGGGCACCGAAGCCTCGTTCTCCTCGTTGTCCAAAAACACCACATTTATTAAGGCTAGATCACCTTCCACCGTGTGTTTTAGTTCCGCGTGCTTTTGAATTGCGTTAAAAGTTTTTAACTTTCCAGTGCATAAACAACATTTCTGTGAAAACGTAAAGCGCAGATCCATGTCGTTGTCAGCTATAACGGATTCGTTAATATCTCGCCGTCGATTTTCCTGCAGCAAACTAGAAATTTGTCAAGTAACATTCCTTGTCAATCACATAGGTTATGAGAATAAAGGACGTGATCACACAACGCTTGATATAAAATAAATTCTCCTAACCATTTAAGAGGGAAATGTGTGAGGACAGGAAAAAGGAATTTACTTTTCAATGTGGGTTAAGTACGGGTGTTCTTGAAACAATGGATTCTGTTTAGAGACAATTCTCACGTACCATGTGCTACCTTCCGTAACGTAAGTGTTTTTCCGTGAATGAAAACATGGACTCAAACGAGCGAGAGGAGTTATGCAAAAAAGGAGAGCGAGTATTCCGAGTAAGGGATGGAAAGTATCGTTCAAGAGGGCATTCAAAAAGAGAGAAAAGAAAGCAAAATAAGGCATGGCAGAGGAGAAAATGGGAGGAAGGATTGAAGAATGAGAACTTTCGTGTACCAGAAAGAGAGGAGTTGCCACAAGAGGAGAAATATGATGAGAAGACTCGTGGACCAGAACTACAGAAGATGCCAGAAGAGGGAGAGGAGAATGAAAAGGTTCGCGAATCAGAAAGTGAGAAGGTGGCAGAACCACTGCCCGCAAACAAGAAACGGATCGAGGCCAACAAACCACCGTAAAATCCCGAAAATAAGCCCCGGGGCTTACATTTTTCAAAGGCCCTTTTTGAGGGGCTTATTTTTGGAGGGGCTTATATTCGGAGGGGCTTATCTAAGGAGGGAAATTTGCGTTTCAAAATCGATTGGGCTAGTCTTATAGTTGGAAGTAAATTTACCGTTTTTGCTTTGTTTTACCTTGTATTTGAGGGCAATTTTCCAAGTACAAGCCCCCGGGGGCTTATATTTGGAGGGGCGATTTAACGGAGGGTTTTTTGCGTTACCGGCTTGGGAGGCTTATATTTGGAGGGGCTTATTTTCGGAATTTTACGGTATTTCCAGAGGCAAATACTTTTTCCAGAGGCAAGGTCATGGTCAATTTATCACATTCGAAGTTAAAACGGAAAGGTCATACCGAAGAGAAATACGTGCCGGCCGCAAAAATTTCACGGAAACAAATCGAAGCTAGCTGCAGAAAAAATAGCATCGGCAAGAACGCAGATGCTCTTGCGTTTAAGGAGATCAATAGGTCTTTGCTGAAAGTGGATAAAAGCCAAAAAATTGGAAAGGGAACCTTCGGGAACTGCTACATCGCCCTATACCGCAATGAATACCGCGTTGTTGCTAAAGAAATGAAAATAATTGAATCCCCAAAGAAGACGAGGGGAAGTGTGGCGAGAAGCATCGCCAGTCACTGGAATTGGAGACCACTGGGGAATCCCTCTTCTGTTAGGTGTTTCCACAGATTGGGCACCATTTTATCTGGTTCTCCAGTTCCACGCTTTGCGTAGTGAAAGCGCTCCGGAAAAAGGAATTCAATTAAAGATGTTGCCATGTGCGCAAATATCTTAAAGCAAACATGCGAAATACTAATGTTTATCCATGAAAGAGGTTTCTTGCACAACGATCTGAAGGGCAATAATGTTGTCATTGACGGATCGGAAAACAAACCCGTAATTATCGATTTTGGAAAAAGTTGAACGATTGTTAAAGCCAGGTTACGTAAACCCAAGGTGAACATTGAGAAATCGATGAACAAATTTCCGCACATCGCACTAGAAATGGAACGCGGTGTCGCTAGCGACGTGTTTTCGTTTGGCTATCTGGTCACTCGTTTATTTAAAGACGCCAAGCTAGAAATTCCACCAGTTCTGAAGGAAGTGGCTAAGAAATGCCAGAGGTCAATCCCAGGAAAACGTCCTAAACTGGTCGACTTTTTCACCATCCTGACTAAAGGACATGAGGGCCCCACTGAATACCGCCTTGGCAAGTTGGGCTCCCCCTATAAGTTATTATTTTTATTATTATTGTTGTTATTAAATTATCATAAATGATTTTACTGTGCGCTCGATTGACCGTGTTCAGGAATAAGTTGTCCGATGTCTTTCAACCTTTTGTAATACGTCAATTGGAGTGAGACTTAATGAAAAAACGCTGAAAATCACTAATTATTGGCGTTCATTTACAATCCTGAATGTGTTGAGAATTTAATGTTTCATCTAAGTGGTGCATAATTTTCGGTCGAAGAGATTTTTTCAAATTTCTGCGTGTCATTATTCCGGAATTTGATCAATCGAACGCTTTCTTATTGAGGTGGTCAAACGGGCACCTTTTTTTCTTGCACAAGCCTCATCATGATCACACCAAAAATCTACTTTCTTTAAGGTGACTCGACCCAGTTTTTTTGGGGGGGTACCATCCTACTTTGAAGCTCTCTGGTATCCCCACCTTTACTTTTATCGTAAGTCTAACACATAGAATGGATAACATATAGATCAATCTACAATATAACATAAAATGTTTGGCGATCGGAGTAAATGTCACGTGGTTATAATGCCACGCCCCTTTGAGGTCTGAGTCGAAAATCGGCTGTTGCCGGCATTTTTCTGTGAAAATCTCTCGGTTACACATAGTGCGCATTAGTGCCTTGCGCTGAACAGAGTTTCACCAAAATCGCAAAGACCCAATTCGAGAAATTCAGTGGTTTCCAAATTTAGGTCATAATTTATGCGAAAATGATAAGCAAACTTTACACGGATTATATATAATAAACTATGAGATTCATCCCTTTATTTTGGGCATCGTTATAACAGATGGGTCCTTGCAAGTCAGCAAAACGCTTTAGGGCCTTGTAAATGCGCGCGATTTCGAGCAAAGCAAACATATAGAAATTATAGTTTTCGCTATTTCTTGACGTTTGTCAGCGTTTAAGAGTCCTTCTCACGAAAAAAGCATTTTCTTAAAAATTCGTAGTTTTTTTTCCTTCAAATTTTTTCAGGGCCACAATTGATTAACTAACTACCCGGACTCTGAATTTCATGGTCATTGAAAAACTGTGACATTATCTTCTATAAGCCCAAAACTGAGTAAACATTGAAGATTTTTAGCGTTTTGGCTGAGTTTGTGCTTTGGGAGTTGTCTATTGTTTCTAGTCTGTCATGATACAGCATTCTTGTTCAGCACGCGTGCAATGACCGCGCTTGGCTGACTTCCGAATGCTCACCGAGATATTATAATTTTGGTACAGTGAGACAGGCCATCGCGTGATACATAGAGGTTTAACTAACAATTTTTAATCAATTCTCGTGCTTCTTGTGTCTTTGCAAAAAAATCAAGAAGTGCTACACACTAAGTCTACTTACTATTACAAAAATATCATTTTTTCATAGGTTTAATGCAAGCCAATAATTAAAGACCAACTCGTGACGGGAATATCACGTTGAGCATTCGGAAGTCAGCCAAGCGTGGTCATTGCACGCGTGCTGAACAAGAATGCTGTATAATGACAGACTAGAAACAATAGACAACTCCCAAAGCACAAACTCAGCCAAAACGCTAAAAATCTTCAATGTTTACTCACGTTTGAGCTTATAGAAGATAATGTCACAGTTTTTCAATGACCATGAAATTCAGAGTCCGGGTAGTTAGTTAATCAATTGTGGCCCTGAAAAAATTTGAAGGAAAAAAAACTACGAATTTTTAAGAAAATGCTTTTTTCGTGAGAAGGACTCTCAAACGCTGACAAACGTCAACAAATAGCGAAAACTATAATTTCTATATGTTTGCTTTGCTCGAAATCGCGCGCATTTACAAGGCCTTAAAGCGTTTTGCTGACTTGCAAGGACCCATCTGTTATAACGATGCCCAAAATAAAGGGATGAATCTCTTGGTTTATTAGATATAATCCGTGTAAAGTTTGCTTATCATTTTCGCATTAATTATGACCTAAATCTGGAAACCACTGAATTTCTCGAATTGGGTCTTTGCGATTTTGGTGAAACTCTGTTCAGCGCAAGGCACTAATGCGCACTATGTGTAGCCGAGAGATTTTCACCAAAAAATGCCGGCAACAGCCGATTTTCGACTCAGACCTCAAAGGGGCTTGGCATTATAACCACGTGACATTTACTCCGATCGCCAAAAATTTTATGTTATATTGTAGATTGATCTATATGTTATCCATTCTATTTGTTAGACTTACGATAAAAGTAAAGGTGGGGATACCAGAGAGCTTCAAAGTAGGATGATACCCCCCCAAAAAAACTGGGTCGAGTCACCTTAAGATCCTTCAATACAAGGAGAAACCACCTTTCAAATCATTGCGGAAACTTAATGAACGTCGAAAATGGGTTACTCGATTAAAATTAAGCCTTGAAAGAAATTTCTTTCGCCGTCTAGTTCGGCCATTTTTAGTAGGTTAGCCTTGACCAACTCCCCCTGTGCAAGAAGGGAAACTTCTCGTGCATCCTTAATTCTTTTGTACTTTTTAGGAACTGTGTCACTTATGTAAATATGTCATATATTTTTTAACGCCTTTGCTACAGAAATTATGTGCATAACCAGCGAATTTGTTGACTTAACTAGTTTATAGATATGTGTGATGATATTCACGCAATTCTGCAAGGAAACTGAGCGCTTTTTGAAATTTTGTTACATTTCTCCGGTTTTCGACAGTCAGACGAAATCATTGCATAATACTTATTGTCGATTATGCTTATGCTGCCAGCGTGACAGAAGTCGAGCAAGGATTATTAATCTCACCTTGTTAACTCTTAGAATTAAAGAGAGGGATGAAAGAAATCGAATTAAAATTGAAAGTGTCGACAGCTGATGAACATGTTTCAGGGTCTCTTTGTAAACTTGAGCCTTAGTCCAAAACAATAGGAGTTGACAGCTTACGTAATTATAATTCCCACAAATACTCCACGAATGGGCCGTTCAACGGCGCTTTTGCATTAAAATCGACCCTCTAGCTTGTTATAATTTTAGCAAAAACTGCGATTTCTCCAATTTTTCGCAATTTTTGCAGAAATCGCAGTTTTTGCTGGACACCCTTGTACCACCTGTAACACTTGAATTTAGTAATTTTCGCAAAAACTGCAATTTCTCCAATTATTCGCAATTTTTGGAGAAATCACAGTTTTTGCTGGACGCCCTTGTACCTCCTTTACCACCTAAATTTAGTAATTTTGCGATTTCTCCAATTTTTCGCAATTTTTGCTACTGCGTGCAAACTTGGACATTTATCTGAAACAAACATTTTAGGCATTAGGAGCTTGGTCACCGGCTCCTATATTAACCATTAGGACTAAAAGACAGTTATGCCTGCCGTACGCCTTGTCCAAGGAAGTAACAGTTTAATTCTGTAATTTAACCATATGGCTTTTCCAGCACATGAGGCTTAGCACAAAGACTGTTACTTATAAGGTTTAAAATTGGCAATGATAAAAAAAGGACTTTAAAATACGTATTACCCACAACTGTTTGTTTTTTACTGATTTGTACTGGAGCCGTAATCGGAGTAGAAATCGCAAGGGCCGAGTCCACGCGGTTCCATGGCTCAGTGCGCTATTTTAAGCATATCTGTTATTAAATATATATTATCCGTATTTTTAAACCCACATAAGAAGAGAAATCCACAACAGCTTTGCTACGCTTCAAGCGTTGCCATTTTCATTTAAAGAAAAAATCTTCTATTCATTTTCACTATCTCCTCGCAGCTTATTTGGGCTGTATTATCTAAGCATTTCCTTCGTTATTTCTTACATTTTTCTTGACCTCGAAAACTAACGGAAAACGCAGCAATATCTCAGATAGTAATATGTACACGATGTATCTCTTGATGTGGCTTAAAAAATCATGAAGAAGAATAAAAGGAATAAAATATTTATGCATGGCATTATACTCAGAAATGCATGGGATAACTGTGTAGTTGTTTGTAGGCTCGTCTCTTTCTTCAGTGCCAGTAAAAAAGCACAAACATCTTCATCAACTAATTGCAATTGCCATTATTTTTTGTCACTGGTGGCGGTAATTTTCCACCCTCCTTTCCCTGATTTCCCTGATTTCCCCGACATCTCCGACATCTCTTCGTCATGAGATTTATCAAAAGCACTTTCACTACAATGTTTACAACTAGTAATAGTTGACACTACATCTGCCTCCGTTCTGTATATTGTCGGTCAATAGTATTCTTGCCTGTTGTGTAGCTATTTGAAATATACCGATTCATAATGAAGATTTTCATACATATTCCATAATGAGATAAATAAAGGAAACGCAAGGCTCCAAGCACAGTTTCAGCTCGATTTACACAGCTTTGATCAAAACATTCCCAGTT